CCCTCCCGCACAGCGATGTTTCCCACAGCGAAGGTTAATCCGGAACGGATTAACCTCGCTGTGCGGGGCACCACTGTATATTAAAGAGGATCAAAATAGATTTTTAAAGGGAAGACAAATGTAAAATTTAACCAGAAGAGTTCTGAATATTATATATAATATAGAAAAAGATAAATCAAAGGCAGGTATTTTATCATTAGATATTTTTAAGGCACTTGATGGTGTAGAATGGCCAACATTAAAGATCCTTTTAAAGGTTTGGGGTTTTGGGAAGCAATTTAGGGGGGTAACAGACCAATTATATTTGGAGAACACTTCTGCAGTAATTGTTAATGACGGGATGACACAGCAGATAGCTTTAGGCCAGGGGTGTCCAACCTTTCACCTTCCCTGGGCCACATTCGAAGATGAAAATTTGGTTTGGGCCGCATGGGAGGGCTGCCCCCTGATCATCCTAAAAAACCATAGAAAACATATTTAACATATTAAACTTACAGTACTTGGAAATGAAGTTAGTGAGATGTTTGACATTGTTTCTCAACCACCAATGCATCCATATTTGCTTTGATGGAACTTGTTGCAATTCACAGTGAGTGCTCAATGTGCTCATCAGATATTTTGGTTCTAGCTTTATTCTTTGTGTGCTTCATTATTGAAAATAGCTGCTCACAAATGTAAGTGCTTCCAAACAGCAATGATATGAAGCATGATTGTGAAGTGAAGGATATTTTTCTCTGGGAACATATATCTAATAAAAGTCCATTAAAGAGACATAGTTAATTTTTTTTCAGTTGAATATCAGATTGGAGCTCTATGTATTCCATTTGCAAAATGGCAGGTAATATATTAATGTCCACTGAAAATGGAGTTGCAAATATCAGAAAAGATGGCCGATTTTTTCTAAAATCTTGAAACCTGTTCTGAAATTCCTGTACCAAAGTGAAAAGCAAGGCTGCATATTTTTCCATATTCACAGAGGTATGTTTAGCCAATGTGCTAAAATGCATCAAATATTTGCCTTCATTTGAGAATGCCATAGTTTCAGTTTCATTTCGAAAACTGTTATAGTTTGAAACATTGTGCTGATCAATTGGTTTTCACCTTGAAGATGCATGTTTTACTCATTTAAATGAGTGGTCAAGTCGACTAAAAATGCCAAATCTGTGACCCAGTTTTCATTGTCAAGTTCTGGCACACACCTTTCCCTCCCCCTCCTACAAAAGGAATAAGCGAGGTGTGTGCATGCACAGGGGGGGCATCCCTAGCCATCCTCCGCAGCCCCGCTCCAAGCGCGCTTACCGGCAGCTGCAATCTCAGACAGCAGAGGCTGCCAGCTTCAACTCTAGTGGCTTTATGGGGTCGGGAGGGGGTCCATCTTTTGATGGGGATGGTGCAATGCAGTCACACAGCCCCCTCTCCCCTCCCCTCCCGCTCCTTCCTTCCTTCCCTCTCTCCCCCCATATCGTTGTGATGTGCCCCCGGCCGCAAGCACCGGCAGTGTAACTTGAAACTTTGGAATTTCTTAAGAAATAAAAAATTGCACTGGGCCGCATTACGGGCTGGACAAGCCTGATCTAGAAGAAAAAGAGACTGAGAAAGAAGGATGGAAGTTAGCGTGGGAACAAGATTTAGGAAAAAGAATAAATGATGAAAAATGGAGGAAGATGTGGAAAATGAGGTTTTTACGATTTTTGTCAGTAAGAATAACAGAAAAAATTTCAAATTGGGTTTAAGATGGTATTTGACACCAACAAAATTGAATAAAATTAACGCTAGTTATCTGAATGTCTATTGGAAATGTGAGAAGGAAATTGGTACATACTTTCATATGTGGTGGTAGTGCAAAAAAGTACAAAGATTTTGGAAACCAATCTTTAAAGAACTAAATGACATATGTGAAAAATATGTAGAATTTAATCCTGAGATAGCTCTGTTATCAATATTTGAGAATGAGGAATATGATAAGATGACTAGAGAATTGATTACCAATTTATTAACAGCAGCCAGATTAATAATAGCTAGTAATTGGAAATCAAAGTCTGAATTTCGAATGGAAGAATGGTATAATGAAATATGGAATGGAACATTGCTATAAATGATAAGTTAATTTGTAACTTAAAGGTTAAGAAAGGAAAGATGAAAAAGAATACAGTGGTGCCTCGCAAGACGAGCACTTCATTTAACAAAGAAATCGCATAACGAAGATGTTTTTTGCGTTCCTATGGGTTTTTTGTTCCGCTTAGCGATGTTTCCGGATAGCGACATTAATCCTGGAACGGATTAACATCGCTATGCGGGGCACCACTGTATATCAGTCTCCCTGCATATCTTAATGATGCCAGAGCTGTCCCAAGCTCTAATTTAACAGCATCCACACGAGGTCAAAAAGAATCAGAGCCAACTTTCGGCCACTAATATAATAGTTTCAAGGGATCACAATTATTTCAGACTGACTGCACAGGACGAAACACCTGTTCTGCCCACCACCATTTAGCCTGGCCATATTATGGGTTTGAAACCACTTCTTTTCCTATTCCGCGTGAACAACACTGACACAAAGAAGAAGCACTTTTGGCGTCAAGTGTGAACTGTCACTTCTGAAATCAAACACAGGATCTTAACTGCCAAGTCAAAGGGAAGGGAAGCCGGGATTACCCCAACACAGGAGGTACCCCAATTCCCCACACACACCATGGTATTTATGTGGATTAGTGTGATGGGCAGAAAAGAGAGACATTAGGCATGTGGGACGCAGGGAGATGAAGGACAAAAGGAATCGGGGAGGGGGGCACACGTTACCTTTCAGCCTACCATTCCCGCCACATTTCCTGCTCTTCCATGCGAGCTTGGTGTGGGAAGCAGGATGACCCGTCCCTCTTTGCCTCTGACTGGGGTGGGAGCAGATAAGAGGCAAGGGAAGGCAGCAGCGCCACAAAAAATCTTCGGAACGGGAAGGAAGGAGGAAACGCGCAGGCAGCCACCCGGACCAATTACAAAGCCGCTCCCGACTGCACAGCTCTCTCCCCCTCCTCCTTTTACCAGGAAACTGCCAAGAACGGAGGAGAAACAACAAGGGATCGGAAGTGAAGGCTCCTCTATCCCCTTAGGGCTCTTAGACTCTATGGTAGTTGTCACTCTTTCCCCTCCCTTCACAGGAAGCGAGTAAATTCTTTGCGAGGCGTACTAGCAATTCCACCCACAATACCTGGGGGTAATGAGGACAGGTCCAGTTGCACTGCCGTGAACGTCCTCATTACCCCCAGGATTTTCATTTTTACCCCATTTGGGGTAAATTGCCCCTGTTCCCCGACCACTGCTCTAGAACCCACTGCAAATATAAAAGATGAGTAGGTGAACAGACAATGTTTGGTAACAAATATGTAATGACTATTCTACTGCTTTACATATAGGGCAGCATTATAAGGAAGAATATTTCCCATGAATTTTAATTGACTGCGTGCTGTTCTGGCGGTGTCAAGAATGCCTCACATTCTGTTTTAATTATTTCTGGAATTTGTTTTGAAAGAGGGAAAAGATGTTGACATACCATAAGTGAAGAAAAAAGTTCTGAAAACTGCCTTCAGTAACATTACCAAAAATGAATTACCAAAAATAAGGGCACTAACACTCTGATTCAATCACTGTTGCATCATCCTATAATACAACTAAATGATTACACCCAGGAAGAATCTGTTTTTTCAAAGATTATACTGGTTATAGATAATGGAAAGTTGAAAATAAAACAAACATGTAAATTCTAGGATTTTTAAGGAAAATATACTTCTTACCAGTCCAAAACGATTATTTTTGTCTTAAATGTTGAAATGGCTGCAGCTACGGTTCCCTTTTGATACCATTATGACAACACACATATAGTACCAGCCTAAATCAAATTGCTCATCCCAGCTGGAAAAGATTTACTAAATCATTGGGATTTACATAAATGTTGACCATTTCAGCAAGAGAGTAAGATTATTAGTCTACAATTGAGATTTATATCCTACCCTTCTATCATAAGAGCTATGTTCAGCCATCTGAGAAAAGTTAAAAATAACCATACAAATAAAAATCTGTAAATACTACAAAATAAGACAATAAATATAAAAAATCAGGTCAGTTACCTGGTTTCGGTCACGTGCACTTGTATATCTGATCTTCTGGATGAAGTAAAATATTAGCCAGGCTGAAGAAATTATCATCAAAACTATAAATGATATAGACACAAAGACAAGGGAGCTACGACTAAAGTTTTTGTTTTGATTGCGAGTTCCAACTGCTATTGCAATTAGGACAGACATGTTTTTTTCCAAAGAATTAAGGATCTCTTTAACCCTCTGTTCTCTGATCATGACAGTGACAATGTCTCCAGTACCTACCAAAAGAATAAGCAGGAGAGAGAGAAAAAGCAAATTAATTAACACTCAAAATTGCTTATACATTTATTAAAAGGCATTATTCTAACTGCTTATCTAAACAAATTCACTGATAATAAAAAGCTTGCCAAATTTAATTGTTAATTTATTATGTTATTTAAAATTCTATACAATTTATTTAGCAGCCTGACATTTTAGGAAGCCAGGAAAAAAATCTGAGAAGTATTTTATTTTAGTGGTAGGAAGGAAGTTGATCATGGTTTACTGTACGATTTGTGTGCAATCTGCAGCAGAGCAAGAAGGGTTTCTGGCTCTCAGTTGCTTTATAGTATGAATGGAAACTAAATTAGGCTACACACATAAAAAGTATGTAACCATAATTAACTTCAGCATGAAAGTGTTAGCACCCTCTTTTCCTGTCTAATCCAAATCCTCCCCTTAAAGCTGTTACTTCCCTCACTGGAAGGTACAATTTGAGAAAAAGGGAAGTTCTAATATAATGTTTCTGAGCAAGAGGGTATCACAAATGTGTTTTTTAAGCAAAAATCTGGCAATTCACACAGGAAACATTAATTTAGAAGGAAAACTCAGGACCAAATATATCTCTTCACATTATCTTATTTGTAAAATCAAACACTACCATATGAACATATGAAACTGATACTACATCAAAACGATAGGTCCATCCAGCTAGCTAGCAGTTTGATAGAGCAGAGCATATATTGCTGAATGAGCAATTCCACTGAGTTTTTGGATAGCAAATTATAGGTGATTCTCTTGCACATAATAAACAGGAAAGAAGGATAAACAGGGATAATCAAGAACCTCGTTTTCTATAACCCAGTTGCAAGCTTAAGATACGCCTTGTTGGATTTGACACACATATCCACCTAGTCCTGAATCCTGTTTCTCACACTGGCTGTGCAGACAGAAAACTCTAGGAAAGGGAGTATGAAGGCAATTGCTCTCACCTTCTCTTGGTCACCTATAACTGTGTTAAATGTTGTTCATTTCCTAGACTTACAGGTGATAGTAAACATCTGTCTGAACAGACTTTGAGTAATGCTAGTGTCCATTAACCAAGCTGCTCAAAAAAGGTCAGGGAAAGAAGCAGGCAGGTTCTTAGTAGCAGGTCCAATAGTATCAATTTGAATCACTATGTACATCTTTTAGACTTCAGAGACAGTAAGCCATAGCAAGTGCTAGGAATGTGCAGCTTATAGGCTTCCTAGCCGCTATGGAAAATAAGATGCACAACTAGATAAACCACTGGTATGAGCAAGCAGTACAGTGGGGTCTTGACTTGAGAACTTAATCCGTATTGGAAGGCGGTTCTCAAGTCAAAAAGTTCTCAGGTCAAATCTGCATTTCCCATAGGAATGCATTGAAAACCATTTGATCCGTATCTGCTCTTTTCCGTCCATAGAAACTAATGGGAAGCTGCTATTCCGCCTTCAACCACTAGAGGGGGATATTTTGTTTCTTTTTTTTTTCTTAGGTCAAGAAAGGTTCAGGGAAGGCAGGGAAAATACAGTCCAGGCAGTACAGTACCAGGCAGTCTGAAGACTGTCTCCCAATCCACTCTCTAAACGCTGGGAGGAGTGAGGAAGCAGACAGGCACCCTTTTCACTGGCCAACAGTTAACTGAAAGTTCACATTTTGCACTTTCCCTGCCTCCCACGTGGTTTTTTTCAGTTCTTAACTCAAATCTAAGTATGTAAGTCAAGTCAATATTTTCCTATGAAAGCGGTTCTTAAGTCAAAATGTTCTTAACTCGAGCCGTTCTTAAGTCAAGACCGCACTGTACTCAAGTACTTAACACAGACAAATGACACTCCAGGGACAGAGAACTGGAATACAGAATAAGGGCTGAAAAAGTAGAAGCACTAGCCAAGGAAAGGGCAATGGAAAAGAGAACAGGAAAGAAGAAAAATAGACAAACATGGCTAGATGACACCAAAGTTATGACAGTAACCAACACAGACAAGTCTGTGGCCAAAGATATGATATACATTTCATATCTTTGGTCACAAGTGATATCTTTGGCCACAAGTCTGTGGCCTCCATTAAAGGTTCACCCATATGCAAATATGCTTCCTTGAATACGTCACTGCAGGGCTACTGACGACCATCTGGATTAAAGGCAATAACTATATTCTTGCTTGAAGTCAGCCTTTTTAAATTCACTCAAGCCAAGCCTGTTTTTGAAAATGTAACTGAAAATTAGGTTTGTATATATGCAACCACAGTTAATGTGCCTGAAATGAAGACTTCCAAATTACCTATGACCATGAAAACTTCAAGCAGAACTTTCTTCTGTCAACTCTTAGAGGTTTGATACTAATAGCACAATACAGAACCCAACACTGTAACAGAAGAATCACAAGCTTTGTATTTTGAAATATTCTGCTCTTAGGAATCTGTCCCAAAACATTACCTATAGATGATCCCTACACACTCTGTCAGAAGTTTTGATTATGCTTAATACTACTTTGCAAGTGTATACTGAAAGAAATAATTACCTACATACTACTCCAAATGCCTGCCCTTTTTCCAGTCTTTCCAATGCAGATCTCAGCATATTTTCACCTTCTCTCTAAGAGGGCATACACATATACAAAATAGATACAGTACTCAGTACACACAATTGTTATCCAATGGAGACTACTGGTCTAAGAATCCTGTTCTGAATGGATACAAATCAATAATTTTATTTAATTCTTTTTCAAAAAAATCAAACATTTTTAACTCAAATTAGAATTTAGATTTTTTTAATTTAAAAAGCCATGTGATGAAAATTTAACTTTAAATATGGTGTAGCTTACTATGGAAAAGGGACTTTAAATTTTAATTCTACATTATAAGAAAAGATATTCATATAACCTTTTTTAGAAATTTGTAAATATGGTCGAACAGCTCTCAGATTAATGCCTAAATTTTATGGCTTCTGTATAGATTTAAGGCGATCTTTCTATCTCCCCTAGTACTCATCTCATAGATACCATTTTAAAAATGCGCAGTTCTCAAACTGAGTTTGTGTCTGAAGAGATATACACTTTTTTCACAAAAATAATCTGGTCATAAGAAATAACAGACCTCATCAGCTACATTTTCCAAGTCTGACTGTAGTTATTCCTGGAGCTCTGCCCCCACTCAATTTGATACAGTATAATGTTGGAAATTCTTAGAAGCCCTACTAAAATCTCCAATACTGCTTTCTATTTCTTCAGTGACTAACTCCTTTAGGGTGGCAACCTTAGCTAGTGTCCCTCCAGAACTCTGTGTAAACAAAGCCAAGTCTTTCCTTTTCGTAAGTAAACACTTTCATAAACTGGAAGCATCAATGAATAGAAGATAATTGGAGATGGAGTAATATGGAGATAGAGATTATGGAAAGCAAACAGGAGTGCATTTTCAGGAGTTAGGGAATCACATGATTAAACAGTACCTTTCTGAGGAGCAATTTAAATCATAATTAAAATCAAACTGAAACTGAGTCTGTTCAGCATCTTTTACAATCAAACCAAAAATACATTCCCATGGTGAAGAAGCACTATTCATTATCTACCATTAAGTACCTGGACATGACTACTGAGCCCAAGCTTGCTGATTTACATACTTTGTGTACTGTCAGTGGTTCTAGAAAATAATACTTTTAAAAATCCATATATTACACAGAACATAAGGAAGAGGTATGTGAAGGAAGGATGAGTCAACTTAGCTTTTACCTTGATGAGTCATAGTGACAGGATCCTCACTGGATACATTGTTGTAAATCACAACAGCTGAAGCATTTTGTAAAGCTGCCCGCAATATTTTTTGTCTGAAGGTGCAATTTCCTCGTTGCATTAGAGCAATCCACTGTTTGGTGTTTGGAGGAACCTGAAAACGTGTTCGTGGATCACAGCCTAAGCGATCTGCAACTAAAACAAAAAACAGAAACAGTAGAGGTTTGCTCATAATGGTTTAAGAAAACTGTAAAAATTGACTGTAAAAAGAAGCTTTTCCCTGGTTATTAGATGTTACTTATTTGCACAAGGGACAGCAAATTTAAAAGCCAAACAGTAATTTCCAAATGTCAACTATCTCTGAAGATTACGGAACTATTAAGCTGGATGTAGATTTAATCATGCTCAGAAAAGATTCTCTGAAATCAGTAGAGCTCACGTTAATAAAGATAAAGTTATGTACAACTGTTTTCAAGAATTGGGCTCTTCTAAATATATATATAAATTGGGACCTAACCTACCAATATTTGGGATTTATAAACCAACAACAGAAAAGCTAGTACAGGGAATATTTTAAATCAATATCTTATTGAAGAAATGGGAATAAGATTGTCTGGTTTTTCATGTACCAGTCATGGTTTGAGTACCCCAACTGAGACATCTTAGCATGAAACCTAAAAGAGCAGTCCACAGCAGAACTCAAATTGGTAATTTGTAGTTCATTTAATTCTTAGATTCAAATAGGGAATAACAACACATATCACTTTTTGTTGTTTAGTCATTAAGTCGTGTCCGCCTCTTCATGAACCCATGGACCAGAGGACACTAGGCCCTCCTATCTTCCACTGCCTCCCGGTGTTTGGTCAAATTCATGTTGGTCGCTTGGATGACACTGTCCAACCATCTCATCATCTGATGTCCCCTTCTTCTCTTGCCTTCACACTTTCCCAACATCAGGGTCTTTTTCATGGAGTCTTCTCTTCTCATGAGATGGCCAAAGTATTGGAGCTTCAGCTTCAGGATGTGTCCTTCTAGTGAGCACTCAGGGTAGATTTCCTTCAGAATTGTTCGTTCATCATCCAAGAAAAGAATTTCAAGCTGTTTCCTCTGGAATACTAATGAGAAGCTGTTCCATTCAGCAAGACCCACCACACACATTTTTTTTATATGAAAACCAATTCTGAACCACTATGGCTCTCTCAGTTGGATTAAACAAGTACTGCGAGCTCCAGTTTCCACTTTATTTTATTTTATTTTTGAAGCACAATTCTTGGACAAAAAGGAAACTTCCTCATCCATAAACTGTGTTGCACTGCCTACTGGAGCAAAGAGCAATCTTATTTTCCATTTGGCTCTTCCACTTAGAAAAAAGGAGGGGGGGGTCTAAATTTTCATAGAAACCATTCTGTGTTTATAACTAGTATCATGATGCAGATTAACTGAATTACACTCAATGGGACAATTCAGAGTCATATACCAGAGCTTTAACTATAACCATATAGGGCGGATCAATTTTAATCAAGTCTATTTAAACCAATGATTCAAATTATGATTAAAAAACACAACAAGAATAACCATGGTTAAAATCATGATTTAAATAAAGTTTTCCCAATACTTTCTATGGAGCTTGAACAACGGTGCACATCTGATCACTTAGATATGTTAATATACAACTCAGTAGAACAGTCGACAATATTTAGAAATATCTTCAGGATTGGATAGATAGCCCAGTTAGTGGGAGCATTTGGCTGCAGAGCAATAAGTCTAGAGTTCAATTCTCCACTGTGTGTTCTAGGAGAAGAACCAGCTTATGTGCTTTTGGGCAAGCGACATGGTCTTAAAGCTCTCCCAGAAGAACGGAATGGTAAACTACTTTTGGGTACTTTACACCTCAAAATCTCTAGAAAGGTCACAGAAATCAGAAAAAACTATAACTATAGGTAAAGGTTCCCCTTGACAATTTTTGTCCAGTCGTGTTCGATTCTAGGGGGCGGTGCTCATCCCTGTTTCCAAGCCATAGAGCCAGCGTTTTTTGTCCGAAGACAATCTTCCGTGGTCACATGGCAAGTGTGACTTAGACACGGGACACTGTTACCTTCCCACCGAGGTGGTCCCTATTGATCTACTTGCATTTGCATGCTTTCGAACCGCTAGGTTGGTGGGAGCTGGGACAAGCGACAGGAGCTCACTCCGTCGCGTGGATTCGATCTTATGACTCCTGGTCCTCTGACCCTGCAGCACAGGCTTCGGCGGTTTAGCCCGCAGCGCCACCACGTCCCTTAATAACTATAAACTGTAACAATTAAATATTTTAAAAACATCTTCATACATATCCACATATTCATTATCATTTTTCCAAATATGAAATTTTAATTATGTTTTATTCTTGCAACTAGTCCGCGTGTCATCTTCTTGCACTGATAGTGCATGATACATATTCATTTTAACCCTAGATGGCATTTCTTCAGTCTAAGATCTGCTCCCCTACATGCAAAAGAACTGCCACATTAGAAAACAGCCTCATTCCATCAATGCCTTTGAATACATTACTTTAGTCTGTTGAGAAACAGAAACTAAAATGCCAAACTTTGGGGGAGAACTGGTAATTACTATGCAGTGTGTGACAGTTCAGAGTCATTTTTATGACATGAAAAATGAATGTCCATATTTCAATCTACCATAGTCATCATATCCCATTATTACATCTTGTTCTGAAACCATGACTAGAGTTAAAAAACTGAAATTAAAATAGAGCTTAGTTATGTACCAGGAAGCTGTATATTCATGCAATATTTACATTTTTGGTAAACTACCATAATTCAATTAATCCAAGTTATCCAAGCTGAGATAAGATGAACTTTTTCACAGTAAAAATTATATAAATTTATTTATTTATTTGTTCCATTTATACTCCACCCATCTAGATTCGGGAATCTACTCTGGGCAGCTTACGGAATATAAAGATAAAAACAGCATTAAAATACTCAAAGTTCAGTAAAACGTCTTAATTCCACTGTTGATCTGCAAACCTATGTACATAAAATGAACACATTATCTTAAATGCTAGATTTGAAGATTGTTTGGAGTGAAACACATCTGTACCAGGCTCTAAGTGTGAGGAGGGAGGGACAAGAAGTAAAAATGAAAGTCAAACCTTCAGAACAGCTTACAAATCTAGGTATCTTTGTGCACATAGCTTGAATTTATTTTTAAAATAAGCTATTTTAAGCACTTCAGTTAATAAACACTGATGTTTAAGCAAATACAAGAATATGTAAGCTATATGTTATTGTTTTAGTTAAATAAAACAATTTAAGTAGTTCTCTATGAGTGATTAACTTATTAAACTAAAATTGGTTCCGATGTAGCTGGCTTTACTAATCTGACAGGTTATTATTCTAAATATGAAATCTTCATCTGGTTGCAAATATTGAAGATTACTGAAGATATTGAAGATTATAATAACCAGTAAGAATGAGTCCTTACATTTAAACATCATTATCAGGCGACTAAAAGCTAAGCCCTATGAGGAAAGACTGAAAGAACTGTTCATCCTTAAAAAATCTGAGGGGAGATATGACAGCACTTTTCAAATACCTAAGAGGAAATCATACAGAGGAGGGGCAGGATCTGTTTTTGATCATCCCAGAGTGCAGGACATGTAATAATGGGCTCAAGCTACAGGAAGTCAGATTTAGGCTGAATACTGTATCAGGAAAAACTTATTAGCTGTTAGAGAAGTACAACAACAGAACCAATTACCTCGGGAGGTGGTGAGTGCTCTAATGTGGAGGCATTGAAGAGAAAATTGGACAACTATCTGTCAGATCTGCCTTGATTTGAATGCATGCATTGAGCAGTGGGTTGGACTCGATGATCTTATAGGCCCCTCCCAACTCAATTATTCCATGCTTCTATGATTCACGCAGTAATAGCTGTCACATACTCATCTTCCTTTCCCCACTCTGGTAAAGATTTAAGGAAGTCAAAACACAAACTGAAGACACTTAAGAAACATATTAGTTATTTAATAGTATAACAGAACCCAAAAATATTAAATATTCCCACAAAAGTTACTTTAGGAATCTAAAGCAAAGTTTTGTTTCCGCAAGTAACAGAAAGGAAGAAGGAAATAGGTGAGTACTCCCATTGTATCTTTCAAATTTTACTGGAACCAAGGGAGCTTATTCTGCACCTCAAGTGCCAGACATATCAATCTGCATTGTAAGGGGCACAGACAACCACGTCAGCAAGTTTAATTGTCAATAGTTGTCCATTACCATCTGTCATCTATGATCAGTTATTCAGAATCAATTTGTAGTGAAGGTTTTCCCAAGCTGAGTTTCTGGAGAGATATGCTGGAAAGTCTCCATGACATAATGAAAAGCATTTTAAGAGCAATTTCAAGCTTATACAAATCATTTGTTAAAAATTTGCAATCTATGTTCATTTATGGTATTTTACATTTGCACAGAAAGCTCAGTATAAAATATATAAATCTGAAGAAGCTGCCAAATTTTATAATTATGACTATCTCAATTTCTATGGACTGGCGCATTCATGTTTTATTTCTGCAGTGTTGTACCACAATGCATCCTGAACCCCTTCAGTAAAACAATTTGGATATATAATTTTTCACTTATTTCAAGGTGTTATTGCCAAAGCCTACCTTGCCTCAAACACCCAAATAATTTAGAACAAAACCTTCTGTTGGGTTCCTGCCTCTGATGTAGCGCTATATGCAGAACAGCTCAACAAAACTATAGCCCTATTTATTTATTTGTTACCCACCTTTATCCTTGAAAAGGACCAAAGGTGGCTTACAGCAATTAAAAAACACTATTCAAATTAGTAAAAATGGATATACGATACTAAAAGGATCAATGAATACAGTACCAAAAAACACAAGCAACGCCAAAATACATTCAATGCAGTAAGGTACAACAATCCATTTTAAAAATCCCACTTGGCAGTCATTCACTCATGGAAAGCTTGCCTGAATAGAAAGGTATTTGCCTGCTTGCAGAAGGACAGTAAAGATGGGGCCAGTGGGTGCAGCAATAGAAAAGGCTCTCTCCTGTGGGATGACTGAGAGGAAAGCCTCTCCTGATAATCCTAACACTTGAGCAGGTTCATAAAGGAAGATGTGGTCTTTGAGATAGCTTAGGATCTAGCCCAACACCCATATCCTTGCC